TCAAGCTGCATGCTCTAGAGACCATGCACTAATTAGCCATGCAAAAAAAAATGGCATACAGCTTGGTGGAAAAGTGCGACAAAGGTAGGAAGAGCATGTGCTTTTATGGGAAAATGCTCACGAAACTCGTACTTGGGGCAAAAGTTGAAACGCCGTCGCTCCCAAACCATTTGGATCTTGGACCCGAGGTTCAAGCTGCATGCTCTAGAGACCATGCACTAACTAGCCATGCAAAAAAAATGGCATACAGCTTGGTGGAAAAGTGCGACAAAGGTAGGAAGAGCATGTGCTTTTATGGGAAAATGCTCACGAAACTCGTACTTGGGGCAAAAGTTGAAACGCCGTCGCTCCCAAACCATTTGGATCTTGGACCCGAGGTTCAAGCTGCATGCTCTAGAGACCATGCACTAATTAGCCATGCAAAAAAAAATGGCATACAGCTTGGTGGAAAAGTGCGACAAAGGTAGGAAGAGCATGTGCTTTTATGGGAAAATGCTCACGAAACTCGTACTTGGGGCAAAAGTTGAAACGCCGTCGCTCCCAAACCATTTGGATCTTGGACCCGAGGTTCAAGCTGCATGCTCTAGAGACCATGCACTAATTAGCCATGCAAAAAAAAATGGCATACAGCTTGGTGGAAAAGTGCGACAAAGGTAGGAAGAGCATGTGCTTTTATGGGAAAATGCTCACGAAACTCGTACTTGGGGCAAAAGTTGAAACGCCGTCGCTCCCAAACCATTTGGATCTTGGACCCGAGGTTCAAGCTGCATGCTCTAGAGACCATGCACTAATTAGCCATGCAAAAAAAAATGGCATACAGCTTGGTGGAAAAGTGCGACAAAGGTAGGAAGAGCATGTGCTTTTATGGGAAAATGCTCACGAAACTCGTACTTGGGGCAAAAGTTGAAACGCCGTCGCTCCCAAACCATTTGGATCTTGGACCCGAGGTTCAAGCTGCATGCTCTAGAGACCATGCACTAACTAGCCATGCAAAAAAAAATGGCATACAGCTTGGTGGAAAAGTGCGACAAAGGTAGGAAGAGCATGTGCTTTTATGGGAAAATGCTCACGAAACTCGTACTTGGGGCAAAAGTTGAAACGCCGTCGCTCCCAAACCATTTGGATCTTGGACCCGAGGTTCAAGCTGCATGCTCTAGAGACCATGCACTAACTAGCCATGCAAAAAAAATGGCATACAGCTTGGTGGAAAAGTGCGACAAAGGTAGGAAGAGCATGTGCTTTTATGGGAAAATGCTCACGAAACTCGTACTTGGGGCAAAAGTTGAAACGCCGTCGCTCCCAAACCATTTGGATCTTGGACCCGAGGTTCAAGCTGCATGCTCTAGAGACCATGCACTAATTAGCCATGCAAAAAAAAATGGCATACAGCTTGGTGGAAAAGTGCGACAAAGGTAGGAAGAGCATGTGCTTTTATGGGAAAATGCTCACGAAACTCGTACTTGGGGCAAAAGTTGAAACGCCGTCGCTCCCAAACCATTTGGATCTTGGACCCGAGGTTCAAGCTGCATGCTCTAGAGACCATGCACTAACTAGCCATGCAAAAAAAATGGCATACAGCTTGGTGGAAAAGTGCGACAAAGGTAGGAAGAGCATGTGCTTTTATGGGAAAATGCTCACGAAACTCGTACTTGGGGCAAAAGTTGAAACGCCGTCGCTCCCAAACCATTTGGATCTTGGACCCGAGGTTCAAGCTGCATGCTCTAGAGACCATGCACTAACTAGCCATGCAAAAAAAAATGGCATACAGCTTGGTGGAAAAGTGCGACAAAGGTAGGAAGAGCATGTGCTTTTATGGGAAAATGCTCACGAAACTCGTACTTGGGGCAAAAGTTGAAACGCCGTCGCTCCCAAACCATTTGGATCTTGGACCCGAGGTTCAAGCTGCATGCTCTAGAGACCATGCACTAATTAGCCATGCAAAAAAAAATGGCATACAGCTTGGTGGAAAAGTGCGACAAAGGTAGGAAGAGCATGTGCTTTTATGGGAAAATGCTCACGAAACTCGTACTTGGGGCAAAAGTTGAAACGCCGTCGCTCCCAAACCATTTGGATCTTGGACCCGAGGTTCAAGCTGCATGCTCTAGAGACCATGCACTAACTAGCCATGCAAAAAAAAATGGCATACAGCTTGGTGGAAAAGTGCGACAAAGGTAGGAAGAGCATGTGCTTTTATGGGAAAATGCTCACGAAACTCGTACTTGGGGCAAAAGTTGAAACGCCGTCGCTCCCAAACCATTTGGATCTTGGACCCGAGGTTCAAGCTGCATGCTCTAGAGACCATGCACTAATTAGCCATGCAAAAAAAAATGGCATACAGCTTGGTGGAAAAGTGCGACAAAGGTAGGAAGAGCATGTGCTTTTATGGGAAAATGCTCACGAAACTCGTACTTGGGGCAAAAGTTGAAACGCCGTCGCTCCCAAACCATTTGGATCTTGGACCCGAGGTTCAAGCTGCATGCTCTAGAGACCATGCACTAATTAGCCATGCAAAAAAAAATGGCATACAGCTTGGTGGAAAAGTGCGACAAAGGTAGGAAGAGCATGTGCTTTTATGGGAAAATGCTCACGAAACTCGTACTTGGGGCAAAAGTTGAAACGCCGTCGCTCCCAAACCATTTGGATCTTGGACCCGAGGTTCAAGCTGCATGCTCTAGAGACCATGCACTAACTAGCCATGCAAAAAAAAATGGCATACAGCTTGGTGGAAAAGTGCGACAAAGGTAGGAAGAGCATGTGCTTTTATGGGAAAATGCTCACGAAACTCGTACTTGGGGCAAAAGTTGAAACGCCGTCGCTCCCAAACCATTTGGATCTTGGACCCGAGGTTCAAGCTGCATGCTCTAGAGACCATGCACTAACTAGCCATGCAAAAAAAAATGGCATACAGCTTGGTGGAAAAGTGCGACAAAGGTAGGAAGAGCATGTGCTTTTATGGGAAAATGCTCACGAAACTCGTACTTGGGGCAAAAGTTGAAACGCCGTCGCTCCCAAACCATTTGGATCTTGGACCCGAGGTTCAAGCTGCATGCTCTAGAGACCATGCACTAACTAGCCATGCAAAAAAAAATGGCATACAGCTTGGTGGAAAAGTGCGACAAAGGTAGGAAGAGCATGTGCTTTTATGGGAAAATGCTCACGAAACTCGTACTTGGGGCAAAAGTTGAAACGCCGTCGCTCCCAAACCATTTGGATCTTGGACCCGAGGTTCAAGCTGCATGCTCTAGAGACCATGCACTAACTAGCCATGCAAAAAAAAATGGCATACAGCTTGGTGGAAAAGTGCGACAAAGGTAGGAAGAGCATGTGCTTTTATGGGAAAATGCTCACGAAACTCGTACTTGGGGCAAAAGTTGAAACGCCGTCGCTCCCAAACCATTTGGATCTTGGACCCGAGGTTCAAGCTGCATGCTCTAGAGACCATGCACTAACTAGCCATGCAAAAAAAATGGCATACAGCTTGGTGGAAAAGTGCGACAAAGGTAGGAAGAGCATGTGCTTTTATGGGAAAATGCTCACGAAACTCGTACTTGGGGCAAAAGTTGAAACGCCGTCGCTCCCAAACCATTTGGATCTTGGACCCGAGGTTCAAGCTGCATGCTCTAGAGACCATGCACTAACTAGCCATGCAAAAAAAAATGGCATACAGCTTGGTGGAAAAGTGCGACAAAGGTAGGAAGAGCATGTGCTTTTATGGGAAAATGCTCACGAAACTCGTACTTGGGGCAAAAGTTGAAACGCCGTCGCTCCCAAACCATTTGGATCTTGGACCCGAGGTTCAAGCTGCATGCTCTAGAGACCATGCACTAACTAGCCATGCAAAAAAAATGGCATACAGCTTGGTGGAAAAGTGCGACAAAGGTAGGAAGAGCATGTGCTTTTATGGGAAAATGCTCACGAAACTCGTACTTGGGGCAAAAGTTGAAACGCCGTCGCTCCCAAACCATTTGGATCTTGGACCCGAGGTTCAAGCTGCATGCTCTAGAGACCATGCACTAACTAGCCATGCAAAAAAAATGGCATACAGCTTGGTGGAAAAGTGCGACAAAGGTAGGAAGAGCATGTGCTTTTATGGGAAAATGCTCACGAAACTCGTACTTGGGGCAAAAGTTGAAACGCCGTCGCTCCCAAACCATTTGGATCTTGGACCCGAGGTTCAAGCTGCATGCTCTAGAGACCATGCACTAACTAGCCATGCAAAAAAAATGGCATACAGCTTGGTGGAAAAGTGCGACAAAGGTAGGAAGAGCATGTGCTTTTATGGGAAAATGCTCACGAAACTCGTACTTGGGGCAAAGTTGAAACGCCGTCGCTCCCAAACCATTTGGATCTGGACCCGAGGTTCAAGCTGCATGCTCTACATACCATGCACTAACTAGCCATGCAAAAACAAATGGCATACATGTTGTGTGATGTCATCATATGCTATCACATTCTGTCTGCCTCCCATCCCATATTTTTTCAACTTGCATGTGTGGTTTGAACGTGTGCAAGAATTTGTGTGTGATGTGTTCTGGAGTTTGGGAATGTGTTTTGTGTTATTTTGTTTGAGCAGGTTTTTGTGATGATAGATCTTGAGAAGATCTTTCCGACGCAACAGAATCCTTCAATCGGAGCAAGAACGCGAAAGCTATGAAGATTCAAAGTTCATGAGCTTGCGTTACAATTGCGGCGGTTACAAAGTGAAGTTGTGGGGTGACTTATATGGAGTTGGGACCTTTGGGGTTGGGGAAATTTGTCACTCTACTGTAACAGCTGCAAATTGGTTGGGAACAACCAAGCTAGGTTGGCAAGGGTGGCCAACTTGGATGGATTGGTTGGGAAGGGACAAATGTCAAAGTTGGGGTTCCTATAGGGAGGGAATCTTTGTGCTTATGGGGTTTCCTTGGTTGGGGACTCTCTTGGGACCTTCCCTCTCATCCCTCTCTTCCTATCCCAACCTTTCTCTTGCTCCTTCTAATTCCTTGTGAGATTCTTGAACTTTGATTGAACTCTTGAGATTGAGTTAAGTTCTCCTCCTACAGCTTACCCCCTAGTGCGTCGAAAGCCATAGCGTCGCGAATACTTCATCAATCAACGTGATTCAAATTGGGAACGGTAGCTGAGATAAGAGCTACAACATATCCAAGTTTCGCGACATTCCAACGGCTAGTGTTTTGTCGACGTCGTTTCTTGTGAAGACGACTTTTCTGTCCAGAATTTCGGATTTATATTTTGAGTAATTCTAGCTCCTAAGTTCACCTAGACTCCGTCCTTAATCCTAACAAGTGGTATCAGAGCGATATTAAGGACATTGAGAGGAGTCTACAGAAGTGTGAAGACCCTTCTAGACCCACCATGGCCTGTGGGTGTGCCTAAGTGGTGTTCTAAAGGTTGGATGTGTCTTCCGCTAAGGGGAAACTCTGCCGAAATTTCGTGGACGCCGACACTTGTGAAAATATCGAGGGAGCTGAGTGTGGACAGCAAAGGGGAGCTGAAATTCGTCATTTCTCAAGGAGAAGATGAATGAGAGAGGAGGAGATGCTAATGGAAGAGGAGCTGTAGCTGAGAAGACAAGTGAGCCGCCGCCATCAAAAGTTGAAGCTTTGGATGGCTCCAACTATGAGGAATGGAGCGGACGGATGAGGAGTGCCTTCAAACGCTACAAGCTCCTGAAGATTGCTGTTGGGGAAGAGAAGATGCCGGAAGAAGGCGAAGCACGTGAACGGTGGATTGAGAAAAGCGCGGTGCTTTTCGACCTCATTCTTCAATCGGTCAACAAGGAGATGTTCGAGCACATCAAGGATCTTGTGGAAGCGGATGATTCGGGTCCAAGGGCGTGGAAACTACTACGTGATGTGGTTCAGCCCAACACTCTCCCGATGGTGATCGTGCTCGAGAAGGAACTTGCTGCCATCTCCATGCGACCAGGGGACGATGTGAAGCCGGTCCTTGACAAGATCAAGGACACCTATGCAAGGATGGCAGCAGCGGGCAGCAGTGTATCTCAGCTGCAGCAGTGCACCAAGATCATCTCGGTGTTGGACAACTCTTGGGACAACCTCATCCCCACCCTCAACTCTCAGCAAGATCAATGGACACCTGAGTGGCTAAGGCAGCAGATTCTGCAGGAGGACTTCCGCAGACGCCATGTGGGAGGCGGTGCTGCCACTAAGACTGCTGAGGGGTATGGAGCTGCAGGGCGCAGCAGAGGAAGAGGGGGTTGGAGAGGCCGAGGCCGTGGGAGGAGCTTTGGCAGAGGTAGAGGCCGAGGTGACTATAATGAGGGGCATGGGAGCTCTAGTGGCAGGGGGAGTACCAGAATGGAGGGCACCTGCTGGTACTGCAAGAAGGTTGGGCATCCTTGGTTCAAGTGCTTCAGCAGGCTGGAGGGATGGGCACCTCCAGGCATGAAGCCGCCCAGTGGTGAACGCGCACAAGGTGGCGCTGTGCAAGGCTCAGGTGCACAAGGTGAAGGTGCACAAGGTAATGCCTATCCTGGTTTGTTTCTTATGGTTGAGGATGTGCATGGGCATGAGGGTGATGTGGGATCTGTGGGAAAGGTTGTGATGCACCCTCTCACGCACTGGGTGATTGATTCGGGTTGCACCAGTCACATGACCCACGGGCAGATTTGCTTGATGAGGTAAAACCCCCTGGGAAGATTAAGTATGTGGCAGCAGCGTCAGGTGCTTTGCTCCCCGTGATTGGTGTTGGGAATGCCAAGGTTAAGGGAGCTAATGGGGAGCTTGTGGGGCTTGGGAATGTTCTGCTGGTTAAAGGCTTGTCTGCTAACCTTCTCTCTGTGCGGCGACTGCAGAAGAGTAAGGCCGAAGTGACCTTTGGACCAACCAGCTGCCGTGCTAAGCTTGGGAAGAAGGTGCTGTGGAGTCTGGAAGAGGAGACCAGCTGCATCAAGGACCTGTGGCAGCTGCCCATCATCCCATGGAATGGGAAGACTCCAACAGCAGCAACGGCAGCAGCGGCAAAGGCAACAGCAGGAGGAGATGCAACTGCACCAACTGATGGGGTCCTGGAAGCAGTCAAGAAAGTGCAGCAGCAGCAGACACATGGTGAGGTGCTTGCTGGTGTGGATGCGAGTGCGGCATGGGCTAAGGCTTCATCAAGGAGTGGAGAGGCCGATTGGGAGACATGGCATGAGAGGCTGTGTCATGTGAACTTCCCTATGCTGCAGAAGTTGGTGAAGGATGGGAGCCTGAAGGGCTTGGAGGTGAAAGGGGGAGTGAAGGAGATTGGGAGCTGCCCTACATGCTTGGAGACCAAGTTCTCCAAGTTCCCCTTCAACAGCACTACAGGACCAGCCAAGACCCCACTTGCACTTGTGCACATGGATGTGGTGGGGCCCACAAGAGCCCCTTCCCTCTCAGGCAGCCGCTATTTCTTGACAATTGTGGATGACCACACTCGGGCAGTGTGGGTTTACCCTTTGAAGAGCAAGGGGGAGGTGGCAGCGGCTGTCCTTAAGGAGTGGATGCCTAGAGCTCAGAGGGAATGCGGACACAAGGTGAAGGTGATCCGCAGTGACAATGGTGGGGAGTTCATTGGAGCTGATTTTGAGGGGGAGTTGAAGAGGAAGGGGATCCAGCATCAACTGACAGTGCCCTACAACCCGCAGCAGAATGGCGTGGCTGAGAGGTTCAACAGGACCCTGCAGGAGGGGGCACGCACTCTCCTTGGGCGTGCAGGGCTGCCTGATCCGTTTTGGGTGTCTGCACTGAGGCAGGTCGCCCTTGTGAAGAACAGGGTGCTGGCTACAGTTGGAGATAAGGAGTGGATCCCATATGTCAAGTGGTATGGGAGTGCTCCAGCTGTGAACATGCTGAGGGCATTTGGGTGCATGGTGGTGTTTCATGTGCCTAAGGAGAAAAGGGGAAGTTGGAGGCTTCTGGAAGATGGGGTGTGCACTTGGGGATTGCAAAGGATCACAAGGGGTGGCTGCTATGGGACTTGACCACCCAGAAGTTGACAGTGTCAAGGGATGTGAAGTTTCTTGAGTCCCTGTACTACAAGGAATGGAAGCAGCAGCAACAGAAGCTTCCATCTACACCGCTCATTGTGGAGGCAGATGAGGTGCAGCAGCCTTCAAGACAGGTGGAGGTTGCAGTGTCAGAGGAGGAGATGTCTGGGGTGACTGAGGAAGGGGGAGCAGCTGAAGTAGAGCAGCAGCAGCAGCAGCATGAGTCTCCACCTCGAGTTCCACACCCGCCTGAGCGTCCTAGGAGGGATGTGCGCCCTCCAGTGAGGCTGACCTATGGGGGAAGAGGCAAGCCAAATGTGGTGCAGGCTGGGAGTGTGGTTGAGCAGATTGAGGAAGATGAGATCGCTCACTGCTACTGGGCACCAATCCCTGAGCCCAAGACTCGAGAGGAGGCCTTGAATGGACCAAATGGGGAGAAGTGGAAGGCGAGTGAGGATGAGGAGTTCGGGTCCCTAATTGAGAACGAGACATGGGACCTGTGTGACTTGCCTCCTGGAAAGAAGGCAATCACTTCCAAGATGATCTACAGGCACAAGTATGGACCTGAAGGGGAGCTGACCCGCTACAAGTCTAGGCTTGTGGCACGGGGGTTTCAGCAGACAAAGGGGAAGGACTATGATGAGGTGTTTGCTCCTGTGGGGAAAGGAACAACACTGAGGGTGCTGTTGGCGATAGCTGCACTCCTGGGATGGAAGATACGGCAGATGGACATTGTGACTGCCTTTCTGAATGGGATCATTATGGAGGAGGTGTACATGAAGCAGCCAGAGGGGCTGGATGACGGGAGCGGCAGGGTCTGCAGGCTGAAGAAGGCCATCTATGGCCTTAAGCAGGCGCCTCGTGCATGGTATCACAAGTTGGAGGAGGCGCTGTTGGCTGGGGGTTTCAAGAAGAGTGAGTGTGACCCCAGCCTGTTCCTGCTGCAGGAGAAGGATGAAATCCTCATGCTCTTGGTGTATGTGGATGATATCCTTCTCTTTTCTGCATCAACTGCTTTGCTGGACAGCGCAGAGCAGATGCTGGAGATGCAGTTCAAGTGCTCCAAGATGGGTGAGGTGAAGTACTACTTGGGGATGCACGTGGAGAGAGATGTGGAAAAGGGTGTGCTGAGGTTGCACCAGAGGAAGTACTGTGAGGGGCTGGCTGAGAAGTATGGGCTGCAAGATGGGGGAAAGCCAGCAACACCACTACCTTCAGGGTTTACTGTGGAGCCATGTGCTGATGAGGAGGTAGTGGGTGATAGTGACAGGAAGCTGTTTCATTCGATGGTTGGGTCGCTGAATTATGCTGCAAATCATACACGGCCTGACATTGCATTTGCTACATCACGATTGGCTAGTGTGGTCTCACGCCCTAGTCATGAGCAGCTGGAAGCGGCCAAGAGGTTGGTCCGCTATGTGAGTGCTACGGCATCAGTGGGATTGGAGTACAGTGGAGTGAGGCAGCGGTTGCAGAGAGGTGCTGCAGATGTGAAGAGTGGAGAGATGCTCTTGAGTTGCTATACTGACGCTAGCTTCAACTCAGTGAAAGCGGATGGCACCAGCATTGGGGGTTATGTGTGCTTGCTAGGAGGTGGTGCTGTGAGCTGGCGCAGCAAGAAGCAGAATGAGGTGGGATTGTCCTCATGTGAGACTGAGTACATGGCCTTACACCATGGGGCCAAGGAAGTAGTGTGGCTAAGGCGTTTGTTGGAGGAGTTGGGAGTTGGTCAGGAGAAGCCGACAGTTGTGTTTTGTGACAATGAGTCCGCTGTGAAGCTCGCCAAGAATGCTTGTCTGCATGGGCTGACAAAACACATAAGGCCTAAGTGGCATTGGGTGAGGAGACTCCTTGATAAGGAGGTGCGGCTGGAGATAGTGAAGACCCATCAGCAGGCAGCAGATATTTTCACCAAGCGTCTGGCGGAGGCGGATCATTGGAAGGGCATGAAGCTTGCTGGGATGAGTGTGCATTGAGTATGCATGCTTGAGATGTGGTATGGTGGATGATGGTTGGCAGCCAGAGGGGGAGATTGTTGTGTGATGTCATCATATGCTATCACATTCTGTCTGCCTCCCATCCCATTTTTTCAACTTGCATGTGTGGTTTGAACGTGTGCAAGAATTTGTGTGTGGTGTGTTCTGGAGTTTGGGAATGTGTTTTGTGTTATTCTGTCTGAGCAGGTATTTGTGATGATAGATCTTGAGAAGATCTTTCCGACGCAACAAGAATCGCTTCAATCGGAGCAAGAACGCGAAAGCTATGAAGATTCAAAGTTCATGAGCTTGCGTTACAATTGCGGCGGTTACAAAGTGAAGTTGTGGGGTGACTTTATATGGAGTTGGGACCTTTGGGGTTGGGGAAATTGTCACTCTACTGTAACAGCTGCAAATTGGTTGGGAACAACCAAGCTAGGTTGGCAAGGGTGGCCAACTTGGATGGATTGGTTGGGAAGGGACAAATGTCAAAGTTGGGGTTCCTATAGGGAGGGAATCTTTGTGCTTATGGGGTTTCCTTGGTTGGGGACTCTCTTGGGACCTTCCCTCTCATCCCTCTCTTCCTATCCCAACCTTTCTCTTGCTCCTTCTAATTCCTTGTGAGATTCTTGAACTTTGATTGAACTCTTGAGATTGAGTTAAGTTCTCCTCCTACAGCTTACCCCCTAGTGCGTCGAAAGCCATAGCGTCGCGAATACTTCATCAATCAACGTGATTCAAATTGGGAACGGTAGCTGAGATTAAGAGCTACAACATATCCAAGTTTCGCGACATTCCAACGGCTAGTTTTTGTCGACGTCGTTTCTTGTGAAGACGACTTTTCTGTCCAGAATTTCGGATTTATATTTTGAGTAATTCTAGCTCCTAAGTTCACCTAGACTCTGTCCTTAATCCTAACACGGGAAACAAAGGTAGGAAGAGCATGTGCTTTATGGAAAATGCTCACGAAACTCGTACTTGGGGCAAAAGTTGAAACGCCGTCGCTCCCAAACCATTTGGATCTTGGACCCGAGGTTCAAGCTGCATGCTCTAGAGACCATGCACTAACTAGCCATGCAAAAACAAATGGCATACAGCTTGGTGGAAAAGTGCGACAAAGGTAGGAAGAGCATGTGCTTTTATGGGAAAATGCTCACGAAACTCGTACTTGGGGCAAAAGTTGAAACGCCGTCGCTCCCAAACCATTTGGATCTTGGACCCGAGGTTCAAGCTGCATGCTCTAGAGACCATGCACTAACTAGCCATGCAAAAAAAATGGCATACAGCTTGGTGGAAAAGTGCGACAAAGGTAGGAAGAGCATGTGCTTTTATGGGAAAATGCTCACGAAACTCGTACTTGGGGCAAAAGTTGAAACGCCGTCGCTCCCAAACCATTTGGATCTTGGACCGAGGTTCAAGCTGCATGCTCTAGAGACCATGCACTAACTAGCCATGCAAAAAAAAATGGCATACAGCTTGGTGGAAAAG